CTTTTGTTTTCAATAAATGAGCATCAGATACTTGTTGAACATGTGATTTCTTCTGAAACAGTTGATGACTGCGTCCATCTCTGCCTCTGAGATTCTGTTTGCTTGATTTGTATGCATTACTATATCATATGAACTTAATGCAAAGATGATGATTAGCAGTATATATATGTGCATGAACATTTCCACTCTTCCTCTTTTCTTGGTTTGAGAGATGTTTTTATTGCTCGTCCTTGGGCTGAAAATCTTTCCTCAATCATTTTCCCTGTGAGAGCACATCCCCCTTATCTCTCCTTATTATTGACACAGATTTCATGAAATTATAAATTCTGATAGATGTCTCCTTAACAGGTATAACATGGGCGTAATAACTACAAGGAAAAGCTTATCCGTGTGTGAGAACTTATCTGTGTCATCCTTCTGCAGGTAAATGAGCTCTCTATATTTCATATTATGTAGTTCTTTACAACTACAAACAAGTTGGGGTTAGCTATATGAATCATCACTTACCATATTACACCATTTTAACTCATCTCATGCCAATATTATGCAAATACAAATACAAATAAAAAACATTTAAATTCTCTATATTTTCTACACGTAAAAATCTCTGAAAGGCAACATTATGCAGTTTTACGTGCATACAAAAGAACCTCTCACCTACCTATCTTCCAAGCACAAGCAATCATTTTGCAAATCTTCTTGGGTTGTTGATTTAAGACAACATTGCGAGTCACCACTAGTTGGTCATAAATGGAATTGTGTTACTGCATGTTATTGTTCTTCCTGATCAAAATTTGCAAAGATAATGTTCTTGGTAATAAAGACATGCATGTATTCTTCATTCACAGGCGTAGGTTGTCCACTATCTTGGTGAGGCTGAAGTTTGCTGAACACATGAAGGAATCAGTGACATATATAGAACAGGGTCATATTCGAGTTGGACCCGATACAGTTGTTGACCCAGCATTTCTCGTGACCAGAAATATGGAGGACTTCATCACTTGGGTAGATACATCTAAGATTAGGAGAAAGGTCTTGGAGTACAACGATAAGCTAGATGATTATGATGCAATGAATTGATGACTGGTGACGGATTTGTGAAGCATTTGAGAATTGAATGAGGGAAATGGAACACATTCTTCTTGGCCATTGTTGGAGTTCCCTGGCAGGTTTACCTCCTTCTAGGTTGCCTTGTACCACCACCCCTCTACATTTTTGATCCTGTAGACTGTTGAAAGATGTACACATTATATTCAACAGTAAAGTTTGATAGAAAATCTTTGAAATTTCTAGCGAATGTTAGTAACTTAATTCACTGTCCATTTGTAGTAGACATCTTGATTTTGTTGATCACACATATCGGTTCTTTGGAGTTAAATTTATTTTAGACTCCTTATCGAAGATGATTTTCTAATGCTTATGGATGGTAGTATGTTTGGTGTCAACTCGATCGATTTTATCGTACAAGATCTTATATGTAGAGATATTCTTGGGTGGTCAGCATATGAACTCTGAAATCTTTTACCCTATCAACTCTACAATCTTTTACCCTAGGGACATGTCTTATAATTTATGAAAGAAGAGCTTCCAATCTCAATGATAATTAATTGAGCTCCTAATTTAAGACTAGAAATTCTGTGAAGCAATCGAAGTTGGAGGTTTCAGTCTCATTTTTTATAAGGCTAAGCATTTCATTTCTACACTTTTTCTTATCTTTATGGAGGTTTATTTTATGTACTCCAAATCTTATCTTTTTGTGCCATTAAGACCTCTTTAATGGAGGCTAATATAGGTTACATTTAGAAGACATTCAAAGTACAAATAATATTTGTTTGAATTTAATTATTTGATAATCTAATTAGTTTGAGTTTGAAATGTTTAATAAAACATCTTAAAAAATTGAAGACAATTTTACAAAGCCAATATTAAAACATGCTTGATTCAAATTGAAGTAAATTAAGAAATAAAAAATAGTTGTAAATTAAATTATTACAATTTTTAATTATAATTACATCAATAATATGTGCATAATAATCTGTACTCCTTACGTTCCTATTCACATGCGGTCCTTATTAAAAATAAATGTTTCTTAATACGTAAATAATGCTACCTCTGTCCACTTTTAATTTTATGTTGCGTTTTAGAAAGTCAATTTGACTAATTTTCAAAATTAAATTAGATTGCATTAATTCGATATTTTAAACAAAAAATTTAGATATTCAAAAACTATACGAAAAGTACTATCAATTGCAATTTTTTGCATATCAATATGATGGAAAAATACGTCGTAAAATGTTAATCAAAGGTCTTATAGTTTGACTCTAAAAAAGGAAATCATGACAAATAAAAGTGGACGGAGGGAGTATTACACTTCCTAAAGTGGACGGAGGGAGTATTACACTTCCTATTTTACCCTTCACATGTGATCCTTACTAAAAATAAATGTTTCTTAATACGTAAATAATATTGCACTTCCTATTTTACCCTTGAAATTATAAGTTTAACCAACATAGGAAAACTAAATAATTAATTTATGTTCATTGGTCAATTTAATAAATCAACATAAATTAATTTATTTTCACTTATTGAAAACTTGACTTTAAAAGAACACTAAATAAATGTATAATGATAAACTTATCTAGTTTCTTAAGAAATATGAAATTTAGAACGATGACATATAAATAATAACGAAAGAAGTAAGAGATTAACAATAAACTATTAAGAAAGTTTTAATTTATAGCAACAATAAATACATTATTTTTTTTATATTCTACTGGGGCTATTTTGTTTCTTCTGAGTGTTTAATTACGGTGCTTCTCACAATTAGGAGTAACATTTTACTTTAGCGTACTTATTACGGTGATTGTCATTAGAGCTGTCAATATGGGCTGGTCCACTCCATTTGGGCTAATTCATACAGACTTTATAATTTGACGAGTCAGGCCGAATTAGTCCATTTTTTATGTGGGTCAAAACATGATCGGCCCAGCCCACAAATGTGTGGGCTACGGGCTTTGTCGGGTCAGCCCTCTTTTCTTAAAAGTATATTTTTTAAATTAAATTATAATTTAAAAATATTATCATAAATATCGACTAGTGTTATTACTTGTTAATCAAAATACATAAATAAAATTATTTATATAATATTTATTAAGTTGAATTTCAAGTAAAAACATAAATAGCTAAATAGAAATATTAACCTAATTGTTTTTCAATGATCATAATAAAATACAAAAACTATGATAATATTCCATAGGTTATGGCATATGTTGTTATTCCCTAGAATTTTTAAGAACTTTACTTTATAAACATAATTTGTATTTAAATTATAATATTTCAAACTTTAAACAGATTTTGAGTGTAGACTCTTGTTATTTTTAATATTTTATTTTATTTTTAATTTTTAATTAATTTTTATTTGGCCCACGAGCCGACCCTATTCATATTTCTCAAATCTCACAAATTGACAGACTTATTCAGCCCGAGCTAAAAAGTTCTTTTCTTAAATATGCTTCAAAAATCATTGCCCAATCATATTAAATTACGGATTAGACCAGACCGACCCAACAGGGCTAGCCCATATTGACAACTCTACTTGTCATTAACATTTTACTTAGCGTGCTTATTACGGTGCTTCTCTCACTATAAATACAGATTGGTTGTCTCATTTTCTTTTGTATGTATGTATTGCCTTCATCTTTTGTCTGCTCAGTGCTTTGGGTTCTTCGTTTAATCTTGCCTCTTGCTAAAATTTAGTACTCCCTCCGTTTCACAAAAAATGACCTCCTTTTCTTTTTAGTCAGTTTAAAAAAGAATGACCTATTTCCTTTTTTGGTAACATTTTACTTTTTGCTTTTCACGTGGCATGTTTAAGACCACAAGATTAAGGGCAATTTTGTACATTTGACATAACTTTAATTTAGGATCACAAAATTTAAAAGTCTTATTTATTTACTTAAATTTCGTGTCAAGTCAAATCAGGTCATTCTTTGTGAAACGGAAGGGAGTATTTCTATTCTGTGCATCTTCAACTGGTTTTTTTTTTTGGTTCTTTGGCGGCCCTTATTTTTCCGGGACCTAAAGCCCAGTACTGCCCTTGGAGTATGCCACCGGTGACGATGTCCGATCAAAACCCTAAACCCCAAATCAATTTTGCTGCAGCCGACCTATCTGCTTCTTTCATCCATTAAAAAAGAAAGAAGGAAAATTGGAAAACTTGATATTGTCAGGTTTTCTTGAATTTCTTGCATGCATTCGTATTAAAGAGAAAATCAAGAACTTGTTGTTTCTTTGAAGTTACATTCGTATCCTTAGAAACATGTTTTAAGAAAATCAAAGAGACTCTAGTTTTCTAGAATATATTGGCATTACATTACAAATATCAAAATTGGTGAGGCATGTGCTTTATATGAAAATTGATATACCTTTCCTCCTCTTACTATGATGCTCCATTCTAGTATCATAAGATTATTTTTTTTTGAAAAATGGTATGAAATAACAAATTATTAATTCAAATTGAATATTATAGTCATAGTTTCTTTTATATGTGGTGTATAAAAATTAATTGTATATATTAGTATAACATTTGTTTGTATATGTGCCATAGTTATACATAACAAGACATGTCTATATAATCTCTTTATGTATATATGTAGTAATTTTGTTTATATACAATTACAATTTTTTAGTTTGTTTATACAAATTTAATTTGTTGTTTGTATAGTTTCCATAGTTATACATAACAAGACATGTTTGTATAATCTCTTTATGTATATATGTAGTAATTTTGTTTATATACAATTACTATGTTTTAGTTTGTATACCGAATATACAAATACAAATTTTTATGTATATGTATACCGAAATATACAGATTAATAAAGTTTCCTATGGAGTGCAATTATACAAACTATAGCTATAACAAACAAATATGATTTTTATGTTTGCTAAACCTAAAATTTACTCTTTTTATTTCCCCATATGAATATTCTTATATTACAACACTATTTCTTTTTTCCATGAGATTTGCTGACTGTTCTTTTTATGTTTGTTATTCTTATAACTAGTTTGAACTTAACCCAATTTCCACCAGGTATATGTTGCTATAGGCAGTTGTACCTGCTATGTTAAGATGGTGATGGATGACTATGGTAAGTATTGGTTTCTTCGACATTGATCTAATGCATTTAATGTGCGGAAAGTTCTGCTCAATTTATTACATTACTTCATCATCTCAAGTTGTACTTTCTTTTGAAGGATTGTCGGAAGGAGAGGCTGTGAGCTCTAATTCTAACCTTTCTTTGTTGGAAATTGTTACTAAAACTCATGAGATGCCAAATGGTTATCAAAAGGTTTTGAAGGTAAATTTCTTTTGAGATTTAGTTGGTAGTATCCATTAGGATAGGTATAAAACTACTAACCTGACTTTTGTTTTTGCCATTGTTTACAGGATGACATGTTTTTGTAGCTTTGAATTGATGATTCTTGATAAGAAAATCTTAAGAATTATTTGATACCGCGAGCTATGCTCTCTTCTAGGGTGGATGGGGACTCACATAAATGAATTGGTGCTGGAAATCGAGGTAAAACAGATGAGCTTATAAGGAAGAAGAAGAGTAGAGAAGTCATACCAGCTCTTCCATTATACCATGGCAAGAAGAAGTTTTTAGGCACAATGCCAAGCAATTTGTCCTTTAGTGCTTGTTTGTGTTAATAATCAATGATGACAGGAGATGTGTGCAACTAGTTAATGTTCTTTTCCATCGTGCAGAAACTAGAGCTGTAAGGAGACTGTATCATTCTGCAGAAACTATCTGCTCGGAGCTTCCATGGCAGTCATCCCATCAATGTGATAAATCTTCCACCCCAAGTTGTGGTGACGGTGTGTTCTCTGATGTACGGTAATGTTATCAAATTTCTTGGGAGAGTTAGGTCTCTTTCTGATATTATCTCAATCAAATATATTAGTTACTCACACAACCTGATGTTTCTCTCTTCAGGCCAAGTGTGAAAATGAAACTTGTTGACATCTGAAATAGCAAATACTGGGCTCAAGGGGAGCACACAAGTACATGTGATGGGGAGTCAAAAGAACGTTCTGATAACGTAATTGGAAGTTCCAACAATTGATCAGACTAAAAAGATAACTTCATTCGGTCAAATTGAAGTAATCTTTACAAAATTGTATGTATAAAGATAAAACGGACAAACAAGGTGATTTTTGACGATGTTGAAAGTTGATATATGTGTCTGTTTGGTTTAAATTCAAGAGTTTTTGGAAGTTCGCAGCTTGCAAGTTTAGATGCTATTTGGTATATTAAAAACTAGCAGTTACTATGCTTTTTCCATTAGGAGCTTAAAAGGATTAGGTTCTTTCTAGAAAAAGAAACATCGATGGTCTTACCTTTCTTAGTTTAATTGATAAATATTACTGTTTCTTAGTGATGAATGTTGAGGTTCAAAAAATAATGTTATTCCTTCTCTTTTTATCCTGTATTTGAATCACTATATTGCATTCTTGATCATTATGTTCTTCTCTGTTGAAATGAATATACCTTTCCTCACTGAATTCATTTATTATGTTATTGTTTCAGTTGGTTGACATAGCATGTTCTCTCCGCGTTGAATATAATATGGATGCCTTAGCATTCTCTAACATTGAATGGAAGGAGCGAAAACTGCACTGGATCAGGTGGACATTTCTTCTGATAAATGTACTACTGTTAATTGCAAAAAGATACACACTCACTTAATCCTGAATAAAGATCTGTACATGTATCAATTATATTACTCACATATCTACTCTGTTCCGCAAGTGTATCTCTTTATAGAAACAAGTTTTGGTTGGTATTTCGTGAACAAATCGCTTGGATTAGTTTCTATGTGGAAATAGTTGCTTGAAAATCCAAATGAAACGACTTCACAAGTCGTGGGATTTGATTTTCTTGATTGCCTTCAAAAACACTTTCTTAATATTTCATAGAGGCTTTTTTGGATTTGACAGTAAGTTGGTGGAAAAGATTGTGTACTTACTGTTTTTATCACAATTGAAGTATTCTGTTATTTAGTGGGAATACATCTTGCCTAAACTCACATATATAGCTTAGAGTAATTCTGTTGAACACTTTTTAAGTTTGATACATTTCCTCTTGAATCTTGAGAATTATAACTTTAAATATTTTTAAAAAAAAATTGCAGATTTTTTTGTTGGTTGAATTCGAGTTGTGAACCCCAGAATTTCTATTATATTTATTTTTTACTTTCTAATGCTTATGAATGGTATAATGTTTGGTGTTAATTTGATTTTATTGCAGGATCTTATATATTCTTGGGTGGTCAGGCAATGAAGTTGAGTAGCATATAAACTCTACACATGGGTTAATTCCTGAGACTGGTCATTTTCTTTTACAGTATCCAATCTCAATGACAATTAATTGAGCTCTTAATTTAAGATCAGAAATTGTATGAAGCAATCAAAGTTATGGAGGTTTCAGTCTCATTTTTTTGTAAGGTTAATCTTTTTATTCTTATGCTTTATCTTGTTTTCTTTCAACGTCATTATGCAAAATCCTTAACGACTCCAAATGAGAGTTATTTTTGTTTATTTTATGTATTAAGACATCTCTTTGCACCATTTCATAATCAATGTCCGTGATATACTTATTCTACAATTGTTTGATCTGCTTGTATCTATATTTATTTTGTGGTGTATTTGGAATGATTAAAAAATATATACTTGCATTTATAATGGTTGTAATACAAAGTATTTAATTTTTGGCAGCCCAAAGTGGTGGCTATTTTACTAGTTTAGGTTAAATAAAGCAATATTAATGAGATTATGGTCAATACAGATAGATGTACACTTCGACTACATTGAGAAACAAAACTCGAAGGCTCTTCTAGGGCTCACTCGCAACTCGTGTAACAGGGGAATTAGAGACGCACCTACAAAAGAATACTTCACATAAACCGAAGTAAGAAGACTAGGGAATACAATATTTAACCAAACTCAGCCTTCTACACATCCTCGGTTTGGCCCGCCACCGAGCAAAAAAATGTACATAATCCTCACATTGACTGAACCCAGAAAGCACATCACAAAAACAGCTTTGATAGATCAGTTTTTCCCACCACTGATTGCAGCATGTACATAATCCTCACATCGACTGAACCCAGAAAGAACATCACTCAAAACACCAAGAACATCAAATGCCTCCTGGAAATCCGTTGCTGAAGTCATGTCATCAAGCCATGATAACAGTTCAGACGAGAAATCTGCCATTTCCTTAACATTTAATAGTCTCTCTTTCATGACTACCTCCCAGCCTTCTAGCTTTCTGCCCTCGTCATCATCTTCCACATTCTTGGAAGTCCCTTGGGTTTGCAAGGTGGTCGCACTAGGTGATTTTTTTACCTTGAAGAAGCGCTGCAGCTGTTCTATCAAACCAGTGTAGACAAGCATTGGTTGAATAGTTGAGAATAACTCAATTGATCCCCCAGCCTCAGAAGCAGATGTACTTGTACTTCCCGACTCCGTTTTCAAAGCCCCAGACACATTGGGGGAAGAGCGAGGCACAGGCCTGCCATGAGTCCGCTGGATATACGCATGGTATATACCTCGTTGTAAAAAGGAAGAGCGATTCTGCAGCCACGACTCATAGGATTCTGAAAGAAGTGAGGTAACCATCATGAATTGGACAGTCTCCTCTGTACCAGCAGAAGTCTGAGTTCCAATGGTAGTGGAGGCTCTGGATTCTGATGCAGGAGAACTTAAATAGGTTGAGATAGACTTGATCATGATATGCTGCTGAGAAGAATCATGATCAAGAAGGTGATGAGCCATTTGCATCATGAAAGGCAAAAATCGAGCATTACTGTCTTTTCCACCACCCCTGCAATCTGCACTAAATGAAGCACCAGTGGCAAATCGAGCAAGCATCTGCATGTCACCCAAAAAAGATTTGCATTAGCATCAACAGTCTCTGTTGTAAGCAGCTTCACCTACTTCAGAAGTGGAAAAATCAGCCCAAAAATATGTAACCAGCCAAAGCTTGAACTGGTTGGGTCAATAACTAGAGAGCTAATGGTCAAGATGGGTTGACCCATCAAACTATTGGGTCAGCTTGGGTTGAAACAAGTGTTACCTAACGGGTTAAGACCCAACCCAACAGGTCATAATTAATTATCCAAGTTGGTGACCATTAGCAACTTTTGAACCCCAGCAGGAATGATAAATTTCTAAGCAGATTGTGGGTTCTCGACTTTTTGTACTTCTAACAGAGGTAATGTTGACTTAGTTGTGTTTCTGACCTTATTGCTGTCAAATTTTAAACATCAGATAGTCTGATTTGGAATACGTTCAACACATATTCTTACCTTTTCTGCAACTATTCTACTCTATCAAATTACGATGGGAAAAAGTAGAATAAAATGATTATAAAATGAAGTTGAATAAATTGGAAAAGGATTTAGAAAAACAGAAAAGAGGTCCTGATTTTCCATCCGAAGGGAAGTCCATTTGCCATAAGAGAAAATGAAACACATTTTTGACCAAGTTTTCAGATCTACTCCATGCTCAAGAGAGAGAAAATTTAAGAACGAATTTTATGAACAAATTCGTAGTCTCAAAAAGTGCAAGAACTTTTTCTTAATTTATTGAACCAATTTAACCTTCTGAAATCAACAAAAGAGGAAGCACACAAAATCAACAATAACAACATACCCAGTGAAATCCCATAAAGTGGGGTTTGGGGAGGGTAGGTGTATGCAGACCTTAGAGAGGTCGTTTCCAAAAGACCCTCGGCTCAAGTGAAGCAAATCAAAGTAGGAATGTGAAGAAAAACATGACAACTAATAGGAAAGCATTGCAGAGCATATATGCAAGTAACCGTAACATCAACAAAACATGGTAAACAGACGATGACAGATACCAAAGCACACAAAATCTCATGTGAAAATGAAGGTTGTAATCCAACAAGAGAACTGTTTTTGACTGGTAGAATAACAGAGAATAAAAAATAAAATTCAGAAAGAACATGCTTTGGTAGTTCAGAAGGGCATTCTGTGAGATAAAGAAAGATTAATTACTGTAAGAACATGTATTGGTGAAGTATGGTGGAGGAAAATAAAGTAGCTAGGTCAAGTTGTGGGTTATAACCAGTTGATTTATCCCACTTTAACCCAACCCATATTGACACAAGCAAACTTTAGGCAAGGTTGGGTCATTAGCTGTTCAATGCGTTAACCTGTCTTGACCTACCTAAAATTGACCCAACCCTCCCATTTAACACCCCTAACCTACATCATCGTCCAACAAAACCATTCCTCCCTCCTGACCCCAACCACACGGAAAGGGAGGGATTAAAATAAAAGAGGCTGGAACAGAGAAGGCAACTATGTTTTGAAGATAAAGCCAACTATTCCAGAAGATGTGCTTAGGGCTGTTCGATTTTTGGTGTAAAGGAATACACAAATGTTACCTTCTTAAAAAAGAAAAAAAGAGGGATAGAGAAAAAAAAAGAAAAGATCAGGAGTGGAGAGATGGAAACATGATAGAAAGGAATAACAAAGATGGAAACTCACCAAAACAATGTCGTAAGTTAACAACCGGAGCCGACTCCCATCAGCACGCCCAAGAGCATTCAGGTAATCCCAGTATTGGTCAACATAGCGTATATATTGGCCTATTGGTACTGATGGACCTCTCAGTGGGAAAAGATTATTGCATAGTGTCTCGTTATTTCTTAGGGCTGCTCCATCCCATTCTTTTTTAGGTTTACTTAAGGCCGCATCTGCTCGTTTAGCCTCCTGATGGCACTGAAAATGTATGATGTTGAAATGGCTGACCGTTGTGTAGACACAGTCCCCACGAGCATTTCCAGGGCTTCCAACACCAAGATTAACCCGTTTACTATAAGTGTAAACACCAAGCAAGTCTGTAGGGCGCAAGCGGTAGCCTTCACGACAAACCATGCAAGCCAAGCCTTCCTCTTCTTCATCCTCAACATCTTCCAAACCTTCCAAGACAGGTCGAGCAACAACAATACGTTCACCACCATCTGAGGACAGTTCTTGGTGCATACCAAGTCCCTGGTACCATAAAAATGAGACGAATCTCCTTAGTTACGATATTGGCACAACCGAAACATCTATAACCTCAATTGTTAGATATTAAATGTTGCATCTAAAAGAAATCTAAGAAGCTTCATTAAATAGATCATAAGGAACACATGGAAAGGGAAGAAGCATATTGTGTCACTAGATTAAAAGATATTCTTGCCAGAGAATGATTAGATGCTTGATAGAAAACTTTTCTACTTTAGCATCTGCATATAACAATATGAAGTAACCACCGACCTACATTGAAGAAATTCTAGCTTCAGTATCAATCATTTCCTAAGAGATAGATACTGTTGCTAAGCTTCAGTACAATCCCACAGCGTCTCAATATCAGTTCTTACATTCAAGACAGACACTTCTAACTTCCAATTTTAAATTATATTTAGCAACATGTTTCAACTACTTAAGAAATATTCTTAAGTAATGCTCCTGTTATGTCTACTCATCATCTAAGGATCCCTAGTTCTGGAAATGCTTTGTTACCAAACAGGAGACGATGATATGCAATTTTGCTGGGAAGATTTGACCATAAAATATGCTTCAGATAAGGACAAGTGGTATTTCATCATTCATTACTAGGCAACACATCAGTTGTGTTAAGTCGAGCCAACACAAAAATGAAGACGCAAAGGACATTAAGAATAGTAATGTAGGAGTTAAGTGTAAAGTGGGATGGCAAGGAACCTGCAGTAATTCTGCTCTCTTCCTCAATGCTCGTCGCCTCATCTCATCCTTTGTCGCATGACGTAGTTGGTGAACTTTCTGAGCTAAGAACCCATCACCTTTTCCCTCCTTGTCAGACAGCGTGTCCAACAAGTTTTCAGCCCTGGCTCCAATCTCATTTTCACCGGCGACTCCCTCTAAAGCATGAAGCAATGGCAAGATTCCTCCTTCATCTATGCACTTTTGAGTTGCCAAATGGCCCATTGACAAGCCCCTCAGCATGGATAAAATAAGAGGAATAGATGGAAGCTTTAAACCCGAGGCCCACTCCACAGTTGATTTGAAACCAACCTGTCCAGTGAAAGCAAAGCTTTCTTTCAGATGGCTGATTGCAGCCCCAGTAATCCCTTTTTCCAGTATAATATCTTTCAACCTCTCTCCACAGGAACTTGTCTTGAGGGATTCTGAAACCCTAACAAAATTCTCTAGGGTGTATTTTTGCTTTGAGGCTTGCTGTGCAATTGTTTCATCTTTCATATTGTCTTCGTAAAGTTTTTGCAGCCTATCAAATTCGTGCCAATTCTGTAAACAAGGTTCAAAATGCTGTACAAGAGCTTCCATTGCTGCAGGTTCCCCGTAAGTCAAGTAGGGCAATATTCTTGCAACCATCTCAGTGTTCCTCTGCTGCTTATTTGACTTTCTAAGTCCAGATGGATGAGACAATCTTTCAAGGAAAAGTAGTACAATTTTCTTTGCCTGTTCACCAGCACCTGCTTCATCACTGGAGACTACATCTACATCAGAAGTAATGCTGATGTTATCACTCTCATTTGCTTCTAGTGTTAAGCTCTCCACGATCAAAAGAATACCCTCAGCTGGTTCCATGGCATCCACAAAGAAAGCACGCCTAGCAGTCTCAAGAAGTAAGCCTA